TATATATATATATATAAATATATACACGTATACATATACATATATGCATGCTTTTCTGAAATGTATCCGGCTTGCCCATTGGTGTCATATGTTATTAACCAGCAAGATGGAAAAGCCCTGAGATCAGATTTTCCATAACCAGAAGCTATTAATGTTTACTAAGTACATCAGGAGTTGCTGATCTTTATTGCTATCTTGTGCCAAGACCCTTAAGGACAAAGAGAGGCCCTGGATATAGTTGAGATGAGAAGGGATAAAAAACAACCAGCCTTTCTGAGGAGCATTGGCAGGAACAGAGGAGTTGGATTGAGAAGAAACTAAGGGAGTAGCTCTCACTAGTTTAGTTTCTTAGGTTCTGTATTACAGAATTCAACAAGTCAGAGGACAGCGCTGCCTTTTTTGCATTGGACAAATAAGGAAAAGAAGACTTATGCCTTATTTTTTTTAAAGGCAACACTGAGAAGATGCCATCATATATCAGGAAATATACTCAGTGCCCTCATATGCTAGGAAATGACTCAATAAATTGGTATTTCTGGGTTCCCTGTTTCTTCCTCATGGCTTTGCTGCATTTTTCTGGCTCCCAAATTCAGACATCTCACCTCATTTGTCCCTGTTTCCCTTCTGTTTGTTCTCTACCTAACATTCTTAAAACTTGGCTTTCCTTTCCCCTCACTTGTATGTATATCTAAATTTCTTTCCCCTTTGCTTGCAAACAGCAATTAAATGCTCCTAGGAAGGGGGGAGCTCAGCACCACCAGGGCAGCCAGTGCCCACTGCAGTCAAGTGAGTTAGGCAGGCATTCATTGGCTAGCCCAGTGTTTCTCAACCTTGACGACTTTTAAGATGTGTGGACTTCAACTCCCAGAATTCAACTTCAGAAGAGTTGAAGTTCACACATCTTAAAGTTGCCAAGGTTGAGAAACACGGGGCTAGTGAAATACATCTCTTTCCCCATATGTTCTGAAAACTCTTTACAACCGTTCTTTTGACGGTCTAGTAAGTTTCTTGTATACACTGAATACTTTTTTTTTTGTTCCCATTAGTTTACAAATCTACTGATTGACTGATTAAAACTGGCTGCCCTTGTTCTTCTTGTTCTTTTCCCATAATAGGTATGAGACTACTGTTGAAGATGGCGAGGTTCCAGAGATGAAAAGTCTATCTGAAGTGAAAGCAAGGCTTCAAGCTGTAAGTTGCTCCCATTAACCACCTTTTAATAGCACCTGAGAGTGCTCTCTAGTCCCTTTTGTTTCAAAAGAACAAATCTGACAGTTTGGGAAAGGGAGAGGGGTGCAAAATGACTGGTTATCACAGGCATGTTAGAAAACAGCATCCGTGATCCCCTGACTGATGATCATAGCATGACTGCAGTAATTTTATTGATGATAAAATCATAGCACGTGAGTTTCCGTGCCTGTACAATTTTTATCAGACCCTCCTATCAAGCCTTGTGCCAGGGAGACCGAAGATAATTGAACACTGTAGAACTTCCATGTGTCTACTCAACTTATTTCTTGAAATAAAAAGCCATTTTAATAGTGTTGTAAAATTACTGTGGGTGACTTCCAGTTTAATTTGCACTTAGCACATTCCCAGTCACTCCCTGTATCCAGATCAGAGCAAGCACACAGACTGCTCAGTTTAGCCAGCAAAGAATATAGCTTGAAGTTTATTTATTAAACATCAGCAAACATCAAAAACAGTTAATTGGCAAAACAGGAGACTCTTGCTCTTTTTTTGCCCACCACTAGTGTTAAAACTTCATGTCTGAAAAGGTTTTGCCTGCTGCAGATGTAACTGATTAGTGGGCAAACACTTTTTGGTGGGCAAAAAAGGAACAAGAGCCAAACAGGACCAAAGGCAGGCAAAAGCAGGGAGAAGCAGACATGGACACCAGGCAAGAGATAAAAGGGCAGAAGAGTTAATAACAAATGTATATGTATGTGTGTGTGTGTTTGTATAAATAAATAAAATCAAAAGGCACACAACTTTCCAGAGCCACTGTGGGTGATTAGCACGGACACCCCCAAACTATGTGTCTAACAGTAGCAAAATAGAGATGGAAAGAAGGATGGCAGCTGATCCCTCCTTGATTCTACACCATGAAAGGAAACTGTTTGGTGGATGAGGATGATGTATCTGACAAATAATGCCTAGCCTTTATAGAATATACGGGTGAGGATCTCTGTCCCAACAGATGTTGCTGAATTAAAATTCTGAGCAATTCCAACTAGTATTGCTAATGGGGAGGGATGCTGTGACTTTAGCAGCATAACATCTGAAGAGCAACTGGTTTCTCCCCCTTGAGGTAATAGATTTTAGTGTTCCTAGTTCTTCATACTTTGCAATGGTTCTCACGTGCAGAACTGAGTCAAAGAGGATAATGGCTTGCGTTGGCTCATCTCATAAGCCCGGGGCTAGGAGTGATTTGGACTAGGTGCTTCTTCTGGGTGATACAGTTTATAGTAATAAGGTAGGCTTTAGTGTGACTGATGCAGCATGAAAACTGTTGCAACATCACAACCTTACACTCTGACTCTTCCCCATGCCATTATTTATTTCTTATTAATCATTGTTTATTTCAATCAATTTATAGGGCTGCCCATCTGTCAACAGCAATTCTGGATGGCTAACATAAAATTTGATCTCAATAAAAACTACCATTAACAACAATAACAATATACAAATAATGGCAGCTGAAGATCACTAACAATTACTACAGTAACATCCTTCTGTTGGACCTAGTGAGGCAGGTTGAAACAGTTGGGAGAACTAGATAATGCTTTTTTTGAGGAGGACTCAAAATGTGGGCTTTTCCAGTGTGATCTAGGCTTCTCCCATTAGTCTAGATGGGAAAGAATGGTGATGCAATAGTTCTTATGCTAATTAGTGGAGTAATGATAAAATCAGCTTCTAGCCGTTATGAGCATTTCAAAAGTATAAGGTAACTATTTTTGTTCCAAATATGGTGGATGGGCAGCTCAATTTAGCAGTATATCACTACTTCTGCACATCAAATTATGCAGATTTGCAATGTACTCTTCTTTTGGTTCAGAGAAATTGTCTCAGTTCAGATAATGTTACCTCATCTTAAAAGCCAAAATGTGTAAAACACATGTGCTTGCATGTGCTTTCCTTCTTGATATCCTGCACTGAGCCCCTTATAATAAAGTGGTTTTCAATGTGGGCCATATGCCCCCCAGGGGGCCACGCTATATTTCTAGGGGGCCACCCAAACTAAACTGTCAAGTGTAAGATCAGTTTGTCATATTCCTTACATCTCATTCCCTGTTAATTTCAGCAATTATATTTCAGTATAAATATTGAGAATTACTACAGTTTACAATAAATATCTTAATGAAAAAGACAGTTACTTTGAGGGGAGTCACAGAGGTAAATGAGGCTCAGAAGGGGGTCATGAGCAAAAAAACGTTGAGAACCCCTGCCTTATATTTTTGATTAACTGTGATTACTAGTACATCTGCATCAGGATACTATGGTTATCATGTTCAGAACAAGCCAAGATTTTAAATCAACTTCCAGTTCTTCCTGATGTTTAAACTATAGTTTGCTGATTTGAATGTAACATAACTTTAATTGAAGATTCCTGACTTTCCACATTGTGTGGAGGGAACTATGGGCAATAAATGTAGGCAGAAGGATTGCATTTAGTAAACCAAGATATGGTCATTCAAACCAGGTTAGAGAGTTGTCTTTGGGAGTTTAAACTATGGAATTTTTTGACTGATTTTTACTTTATCCTATTTTACTTGGGGGGGAAATTAGGTAAACTTTGGACCAAAAAACCTTTCTCTGAGTCAAGCAGATGTACGATTATCCCTGTTATATTTGCATATTTTTCAAGTTCAATATCTAGATGACATGCCCATCTTAATCTTCTTATTCTTTAATTTTAACTATCTTGGTGATCATGTTTAGTGAAGAATAGGATTTGTTAAGATAGTGTTTTTATATTTCAAAGGATACCAAATTACTTTCAGTTGAGAGTAATTATGTATTTGTGCTCATGTCTGAAATGTGAATATTTGATTAGGATTCTGTAGAATAATGCGCACACATATTTTCTAGTGTGCTCTCCTCTCTTTCTCTCTCTTCCCCCCATCATCTTTAATTTGACATTCCTGGTGCAGATTAGTGAAGAGATTTCTAGATGTACCCGTAGCATCTCTGAACACCAAGCCACAGTACGGTGCATTTTATCTGAAGTGGGAAAGAAACAGACTCAAATGAAATACGACAGGTTAGTAGAATGGAATGTTCATTCTTCAAAGGTTGTGACACAACTTCACTCAGTTTCATTCAAGGAACTGACTGTGCTGACTTGCAAAAATTGCATTTTAAAAAAGTGGTTGTCATTGCTGAAGCATCACATACTTTCTTTCTTTTTGGTTTTGTGTGATCTGTGATCCAGCCACTGTGGTTTATACTTCATGGTTTATAATAATTTATCTGGGGGAGATGGGTGGCATATAACTTTAATAATAAATAAATAAATAAAAATAAATAAATATATAATACCAACTACTGTGGTTTGTACAAAAACCATGATTCTAACAAACCATGGCTTAACATGAAGTGTGAACCCTCATTGTTTAACTGTCTCAACCCTAAAAATCCAGAAGATTTTGATGATACCAAACTATTTGCTATAAATACAAGAAGTGGATGGCAGTCATAGAGGGAATATGTAAAACAGGGCTATCAGGGATTAATACTCACAGTATTACTGTACTACTTCCAATATCAGAGATGGCATTCCTTGCTATAATAGTTGTTGGAGAACACAGACAGAAGGATGCTCTTCTCTTGACTGTGGGCTTCCCAGAAACACTTTCTTGGCCAGTATTAGAAAACAAGGCTGCAGTAGAAAAGACTTTGGTCTAACCCAGCATGGCTCATTTTATATTCTGATAAACAAGCCTGTGTTAAATAAGCATTTGCAAATTGGTTGTCTGTTTGCTTGGAAGTAGTTAAAGCCACATGCTTTCTTTATTAAGAATACTTATGTTCAATAAGCATATTACAGGAGACTTGCTAAATAGGCCATCTAGTTCAGTTTCTGTGTCACACAGTGTAATGGACAGAAGGAATAACCTAGAGGAACAGGAGGAAGAGTTGCTACCAAGACAACAGTTAGATAAAAGAAATCTGAGTCCAGGGCAGAACTGTAATCCTAGTAAGCATCTCAGACAAGATCCTCCCTAGTTCTCATGAAGGTAAAGGGAGGGAAACTTCTCCTCCTGTTCCTCAATGTTATTCCTTCTGCCCATTACACACAGTGGCCAACCAGATGTATTCAAGAAGCTCACCAGCACGTTTGGGAAGGCAATAACTCTCTTAGACTTACAGCAGATAGTTTGCTTTCTAATAGTTGCTTGTGATTCCAGAGGGAGTAATCAAATTAAGTAACTATTTATTACCCAGTTCATATCTCTGATCAGTCCTCTTTTAGAAACATTTCAACTGGTCACCGCCAGTGCAATGATGTGAACTACACATTAGTGCTTTCTTGCATTGACCCTAAATCTCCCTGCATTTAGTTCCAGTGGATGACCCAGAACGGGAGAAAACATTTCCTGTCCAATTTTCCATACTGTGCATGATTTTATATACCCTTTGGTGTCTCCTATTTCCCATCTTCACTGCAAGCCAGAAAGCACCAATCATTGCCATTTTTCCTTGTAGGCAACCTATTCTAGCCCTGTATCATTTTGGTTGCTGCTCTTTGCATACAGAGCGAGTGACATACAAAGTAGCAAATCAAAAGAGTAATTAAAATAACAGTCCCAAAGTCCATTAGTAAGGCAAAACAAAAGTAGCTAATAATCATTTCTTGGTTTTGTCTACTGGATCTTGTGTATCCTGACTGTATCTGGGCCACATGTTCAGGTAGGGTGGCTTGTATTAGGTCTTGGTTCTTTGTATTCATGAGGAACCTATTTTCTGCGTGGACTCCCATAGCAGAAAGAGAAATGTGCTACTAGCTGCTGCAAGAGGAATGAGTTAGTAAGATGGAGGTATGCTTTCCCCCCAATCTCAGAATTGTTATTACCTAAAGCTTGAGGAGAGGAAGCTATTTGCTTGGATTATGGATCTCCAGGGACAGCTTTAAGGTACTGGCAAAGGCAGGGATCAGCTAAGCTTTTCCAGATGGAAGAGAAAAAATAGATTGGGAAAAAATAATCTGCTTTTTTCCCCCCACTGATAGCTGGGATTTAATCAAAGCTGTGTTCATGGTGTCACTTACTTTGATAGTGTGTTCCTTACAGACAAGTCACAAAGCTCTTTACTGGACAGTATTAATAATATAATGTGGAAGGGAAGTCTAGAGAGACAAGAATTGAAGGGAGCAAAGAAGAATGGTATTCACAGTGAAGGAAAAAAAATTACATGAGTCACCTAAGTACAATGATGAAAAATCATATGGTCAGCAAGACTGCTGTGGGAGATATATTAAAGCAAAGCAGCACTGTGAATGATGTAAAAGGCAATAAAAAGAGGGTGCAGTGTTAGGTAGCCCAGGAAAGACATAATGTCCATTGATTATTTCAGGTTTCAGTTTACTGATGAGTAGTGGTTTGCCAATGGTTATCCTACCAGAGTGAGAAAATTCAAAATGAACCCCCTTCCCACAGCAAAAATAGATACTATGCTGGTGGTCAATCTATAAAGTTAATGTATAATTGGCAGTGCCAAAAATTAGATTCTGATGTAGTCATATAGGAGATGAACTTAAATATCAAAGTGACCCAGCTTGATTGCCCACTGAGATACATCACATAAATGGGGTGTAGTCTGGGAGAATAGCTGGATATAGAAAATTTAGCATCTTGTGTGGAAGGTCCATCTTTGGCAAAAAGGAGTTCCAGCCCTGATTAATGACTTAAATGTTCAGTTATGCTTGGAAGAAAGGCATAAGAAGAAAGAAACAAGAAACAAGAAAGGCATACAGGCCCTTAAGCAAAAGATGAGGCTCATAAGCAGTGAAGTGTGTGCTCATGTGATTGAATTTGTTCATTCCATTTACATCTTTATCACTAACAACTCTGCACTCTCTATACCTGCCTGTTGACACCACAAATGCTGGTAATGTTGGGATGTGCATGGTTGATGTATGACAATACTGTACATCACAATATGTATGACACCCCCCACTTCTTTTTTCTCCCTAATTTCAATTTTATGCCAAAATGCTAAAGCTAGTGTGGCTAGAAACTCTCTTCCCTTTTACCTTTGAAAGAAAATAGCCTGCTACCACTTAATACATTTTTAAAAAATTTTTAAGTGGTCAGTGATTTGAGAAGTATATGCAGGACTCATTTTAGTGGCTGGCTCAGCAGTGGGAGGTTTGAATAGGAGAAATGAGTATTGTTGAAACAGACTGAATTTTCTATGGTATTTCCTAAAAACAACTGCAATTTACCTATCTCGCTAAGTTTTCTTTATACCTGTGCCTTACCAAATCTTTAAAACTGTGTTCCAGGTCCCCATCTGTAAAATCTAGATTAGCAATGTGGCTCTTCCCATGTCAAGCATCTTAGATTTTAGGGAAAAGAATATAATGGACCAATTCTTGTGATAATGGGGATATAGAAAATTGCGGTGGGGAGGGGATAATTATTTCTGTGATTACATGTCTTATAAGATAAAGATAATGAAGTTGTATGCTCTGAACACATTTGTCTTATTTGTATTAAATTATGTGGCACAGGCCTTTCAGCAAGGCATGGTTTTCTGAATATATAACTTACTGGGCCACAGTGTCCAAGACAGCCTTCTCTACATGTGGTCAGTACTGACTGGTGACAGCTCTCTGAAGTTTCAGGCAGTTTTCCCACCTCTACCTGGAGGCATCAGAGGCTTATGTTTCAGGGTGCTTAGTTTTATCACTAAGCTATCATGCTCTGTTATTCTGTAATTTTATCCATTTTATAATTAATGAATTGGCACTGAGCTTGTGGCTGATTGTAGTGATTAGCTCAAGATTCCACTGTATAGGAGAATCACAAGAACAGCCAATTATAGTGATGAACCCTGCTTGCCAACTAAAGCTAGTTCCCCTGTGTGCCTGGTATTGTTGAATCATTAAAAAAAATCTTTAAATCAGGTGCAAGATTTCTGGTTAAGGTTTTCTTATAGGTTGTGAAGCCAAGACCAAATCTAGCTATAACAACTTTTGCAGCCTTTCTCTTGCTTTTGATTCATTTCCTCCTGCATCAAGCCTGTTGATATTACAGTCAACCCCAGTGTATGAAGTATTTTAATAGGTGTGTTCATTTCTTTTTATTTCTAACCTTGTGTCTTAGCATTCAAAAGATGGAGGCCTGCCTTGACAAGATGCAGCACATTTACAACCAGTTCAAAAAGGCTCGGAAATGCCCATGTGAGTTGCCTCTCTTAAAGCACCAAACTGTCTATATTTTGGAAACAAAATGCCTGTTAACTGCTAACTAAAGGCTGTGTCCAATTAGGCAGGTCTCTTAAATGTAAAATAGTGACACTTAGACTTTGTAGCAGCACTACTCTCAAACAAGCAGTATACTATATTAATATTGCTATACCTTGGGATTTTAGCAATCCATTTAGCAACACCTGGAAGCATAAAATAACATTTTTGAAAGTAACGACCAATCTTGAGACAGTTCATCTGTCTGAAAGCATCAGATTCACAGTTGCTTTATTCGTTCCTTCCATCTCTGGAGGAAGTGTTTGAAGACTGAGGACAAAATGCAGTAATGAGGTCCCAAATTGTCAGGCCTCACTCAGATTGTGATTTGAACTCAAAGGCTAGCAGGCAGAGATTCAAGAACACAATTCTTTGATAAACTAGTTTTATTATAGATACTAGAAAAGCCATGATTAGAGCAGAAAACCAGCTACCAGCTATAAGCCTTCAACTATATTTGTCCTCAGGTTTAGATCGTAATCTCTTTTTCCTGCCTGTGCACACCAACAGAACTGAGAGCAAGTCATTTCTCAAGGTGTATTGAGATGTGGGTTGACATCTCTGCATTGTGATTATAACAGTCCTGTCTGCCCTCAGGCAACATGCATCTGATCTTGTTCCTTCTCATACAAATGTGTGATGTGATCAGAATCTCCACCTTTAAAATAAATATCTGGAAGCCCATACAAATTGGTTAGACGCTAGGGAAAATGACCAAAAAAGGAAATAATTCTGTGGAGGTTCTGTGTTTTTGTGGCCCAGCACAACTTTTTATGTTCTTAGCCACAGCAAGACTGGCATCATCCTCAGCAACCAACTCTGATGATTGCCTCTTTTTTTTTTTTACAACATTGGGGAGCATGTGCTAGAAATCATATAGATTTTCCTACAATACCTCAGCTGAAATATATCTCCAAGAAACTGTGGGAAATTAAAATGGTGTTTCCGAACTGCTTGGCATGTAACTGTAACTATGGCTTTTTGTTCCCATTAGCTCATCTAGTTAAACCTACATGATGCTCAAGACTACGCAGTGACTGAGTATCAGTCCCAAGATATTTTGCTGTCTGGGGCAAAGAATAAGATAGTATTTATTATATTTTTATTTATTTTATTTACACAGTTTATTAGCCACCCATTTCACTTTTCCAAGCAACTCTGGGCAGCGTACAACAGGGTTAAAAAACACTCAATAAATACATTAAAAAAACCAAACTAAAACAGAAAATAATAGGTGAAGAGATGTTAAAAATAATGCACCCATCTCACTAGATCACCTGTCCCCTGGGGTCCCTAGGCCTACTGGCACAACCAAGTCTTGAGGGACCTCCAAGAAGCTCAACAGTGAAAAGGCCAACCTCACCCCAGGGGGAAGAAGATTTTACAGTGCAGGTGCCACAGCAGAAAAGGCCCACTGCCTAGAATCTGCCAAATGTAGCTCCCTAGGCATCGGAACCCATAACATGCCCTCTCTGCCGGATGTGGTAGGATGGGCAGATGAAATCAGGGAGAGGCGGTCCCTCAAGTAACCTGGTCCCATGCCATAAAGGGCTTTAAAGGTCAACACCAGCACCTTGAACTGGACCTGGAAATAAATAGGTAACCAATGCAGCTTGCGAAGCAGAGGTGTGATGTGTGTTCTACCAGAAGCACACATAACTGCTCGCGCTGCTGCATTTTGCACCAGCTGAAGTTTCCAGATACTCCTCAAGGGAGTATCATGTCAGCTTACAGACATGATCAGTTTCATTACATGTAGGTAAGATATGAATAAGGCAGAGAATAGCTTTGGAGATCATTGAAGGCCACAAAAATATGCCTTGTATCCTCAAAAGAAAATGTACATCTGGGTTTCCATGCAACCATACAATTGTATGCAACCATACAATCGACCCTGGGGATGGCTGGCGCCTTGATGATACTCCCTGAGTTTATGATAACCTAATTGTGTTAACCTAATTAACATCAGCCTCTTGAAGTATCATATAGGAAGTTTGTTTTTTAGTATATTTTAATTAATTGATATTTATCTATTTTAATTAATGTTTATTCTGTTTTTATAGTAAACCGCCCAGAGTCACTCTGCAGTGAGATGGGTGGTGACAAATTTGAAATATACATAAATAAATATAAATAAAACCAGTGAAACTTTTTAAAGAAGATGCTGGAGCATTTCATGAAGTGGGCTATAATTCGTAAAAATGTCATGTATTGTACCTCTTAGCCATTAAGCTGCCTCTGTGTCTGTTTATAAAGAATAAATCTTCTGGTAGTTTTTCTTTTTCCCCTCCATAGAACTGAATTCCCAAATTCCTTAGTTTTCACTGGATGTGCAGCCCATATTTTCTTATTCTTCAACTATCTTATACTCTATGAGTCCCTCTAAATATTATTGACATGTATTCATAATCCCAATTTTTCCTTTTCTTTCTAGCTCTAGGCTACAATGAACAGCAGATTCACAAATTAGATAAGTAAGTGTTCATGTACAACATGGAACTTATCCAGTCTGCTTTCTCTGAGCTCAAATGCTGGTATTGAGTTGTTGATAAACTCAAGATTGTCTCGTGTATATAGTTTAATTCCGTGTAATCAGTTTAATTCTTCTGTGCCGTGGTTGCCTTCAGTTTCTGAACCATGCTATTTCTATTGAATTTACACTGTGTGTATTGAACAAAAGTCTACATTTCTATAAGAAAATGTCTAAATTTCTATAAGAACTTATTTGTATTACAAGGACAACTTGAGAAAAGAGTAAGTAATGACAAAAAGCACTGAAATATTGTATGTAGTATTTATCTTTTTATTATTATTTTTAGGATGAATATAGGACATTTAGCCAAAAAAGTTATTTCAGTATTCCAGGATCATTGTTTACTGCAATATCAAGCTGCTCTTTCAGCGCATGGAAGTAGAATGAGGTAATTGATGTACTCCTTGAACACTTTCATTAGCTCTTTAAAAACCATTAACGTTCTAGTCTCCAGGATCCTTTATAGATGATTTCTGTGTATGACTGATATGATTCCATGTATATGATCATCCTGCAAAGCTGTTATGTTAAATTTACACTCTTTTGATTATCTACATGTAGGATCAAGCAAACATTTTCAGACAAAATGGAAATATTTGAGCCAGTGTTATAGTTTAGGGGCAAAATGGAGGTTAATTATGTTCTTTCTATGAATGAGTCAGGGGTCTTTTGGTTTGTACAAAATACAAATTGGTTTGCTTAGTTTTGGCTTAGTGTGTACTATAAATCCTACCACTGTGGCTTGTAAGCCATGGTTTGTGATTTACCATGATGTTTCAATATAGACGGTGCTTCATTTAAAGCTCTATCTGTAGCTTTGTAATTAATCATCAGTTCTGATAAGATCTATTTTCCTGATCAATCTTTAGTGCATTTCTGAAATATTGAAATATGAGAGTTTATTTTCCCTTTATGATAAAGAGGTATAACATTATCAAAGAAGTTATAGATGACTGAGACATTGTAAATGAAGTTACATTGTTGAATTGACATAGGCCCTTTCCACTAGGCTGCACATTGTAAATCTTCCCCAACCTTGGAATTAAAATATTGATGGACTCTTTTGTTTTAAGAATCAAGCAAGTTTCTCATATTGGAATGAAGCCATTATTAAGACAAAGAGCAGCACTTAGAAAGAATGATTTTATGTTAAATAGCGTTTGGGGAATAACGCAAAGAGCAAATTGTCCTGAGGTGATAGAGAGCCATACATTGACTTATTATACAGGAGAAAAGTGCAGTCACTTAAGGAAGTAATAGCAGCTGCAGCTATTTTTTTTAATTGCAAGATGCTTTTAAAGCATTGCCATTTTTTCTGTTGGGTTCACCTAAGTATTAAGGTTCCTGAGACTGTAATCACTATTAATTTTGACTTGGGGAAGCTTAAGTTGTTCCATTTGAATCAGTTCAGGAAAAAGCCAGGCAATCGGAATGAAATGTTGAAAATTGTGACACAGATGAAAAAACCAATTCTATCTTTGAATGATACCCCAAGAAAGAGGAACTGTTATAGTGAGACACAGCGATGCTGCCTACCACCGCAAGATTGGTTGGTTGCTGCTTTCTAGAAGATTTCATGAGAGTTTTGAACTAGTTCATTCCACCACTTCAGATTATTCCCTAGGGTTAGGGTAAATTACCCAAAATTAGGTAAAAGTGGTTTTTCTGTGGGTAACGACACACAAA